GGTATTTACATGTGTGTCCTATTTATTTCACTTAAGAGTATGGCCTCAATATGCATCCATTTAGCTATAAATGTCTCTAGCTTCTCATTCTTTATGGCTGAATAGTACTGCATTTTATAATTTAAAAAAACCACATCTTCTTTATCTACTTTCCAATTGATAGGCACTTGGGCTATTTCCAAGCTTTAGCTGTTACAAACTGTGCCACTTTTGATGTACCAAATAATCACATTCATCACAGGGAATTTGTACCTGTACATAATATATCTTGATTTTTCTTTTTTTCCCATCCCCTCCCCTCCCTTCAACCCTTCCTCCCCTCCTTATTTACAAAAGCTTGGTTTCCACGTTTTTCTATTTTCTTTTTTCCTTTTCTCTTCCTTCCCCGGCCCCCTTCCCTCTTCCATTTGAACATTTTCTTCCTACTTCCAAATATCTATCATCCATTAAGAAAGCATCACTTGGGGGCTGGGGATTTAGCTCAGTGGTTTCACCACCTGCTGCACAAGCACAAGGACCCGAGTTCAATCCCTGGTACCAAAATAAAAGAAGAAAAAAGAAAGCATCACTTGGCTGGGGATTTAGCTCAGTGGTTCCACCACCTGCTCTGCAAGCAGAAGGACCTGAGTTTGATCCCCGGTATCAAAAAAAGAAAGCATCATTTGAAATTAGAAATTTAACTTTCAATGATCTACATATTACTCAGCTGTCTCCTCTCCAGAGAAAATAGATGCTGAAGTTTTATTTCTATTTGTATTCATCTCTAAAATATATTTATTTGTATATATACAGATACATGAGTTAAATTGCTTAGCCTTCCTTGCAATTGTGCCAGAGTTTATTTGACTTAAACAATAAGAATTCATAACCCTATCGTTCTGGAGGCTAGATGTCCAATATTCTAGCTGATTTGTTGTTTTAGTGAGGACTCTCTTCTTGGCTCACAGATAGCCACTTTCTTGCTATGTCCTTATGAGGAAAAAAGAAAGGGTTTCTTGCCTTATAAAGACACTAATCCCATGATATTAGGGCCCATCATTATAATTTTATTCAATATTAATTTCTTCATTACAGACCCTATCTGCAAACACACAGGATTGGAGCTTTAACATAGAAATGTAAGTGAGAGTACAACATTGAGTCTTCAAAATTAGAAATTGATGTAAATTTATGTTTTATTTCTCTTTATTATATTATACATATAGGGAAAGAAGGAGATGCAGTTATGCTGTCTGGAGTGAGAAGGAAACTTTATCAGCCTTTGACTTCTATGGAAACAAGCATGTTAAATGTAGCATTATCATCCGGGCAACACATGACCAACCGTGAACTACAGGAGCCTGAAACAACTCCTGAAGTCTAAGTATCTTGCAGCAGTTCCTCACACAAAGAATAGTTCCCAGCACAGGTTGGTCTTTAACATAAACAGACCCAAATAATTGCATTTATAAATATTCACACCTTTACCTTGAAAAATGAACACATGATATTCATTTTCCCAGATATTATAGAGATGGAAGTGGAGATGTATGGAATGGATTTGGGTGTATTTTGAGAGGAGTTTAGTGAAAAGTTTGTAAAGTATGTTTATTTTCTTGTATTGTGAGAATCTTGCACCTGTGGAATACTAAGATGACAGCTTTTGGACAAGAGACAGACTCATATCCAGTATATTTCCTTCCACTGGGTCCACTGCTGACAATGATAATTTTCCTCACTCTTGTAGTCTGAGAATGAAAGTTTTAGAGTATTTCTGATGTTTATTACAAAAATAACATGGAGTTTGGAACCAAGACACTTAGATTGTTAAGTCAATAATCATCCTGCTTCATGACAAACTCTGAACTACATTTTCCCCACGGTAAACTCAGAAGACAAAAAGCTTGGTGATTCACCAAGGCACTAATGGCTGCTCCATGGGTGTCATAATTATTCTTCCAAAGGTAAACTCTCCAGTGGCTTCTTCCAGAAGTAGTTTTACCCTCAAGGGAGCCAAGAAAAGGAGCAATTATATTTGGCTCCACTTTGAGTTGGGGATGAGAGATTGCTCTTCAGGTCCTTTCCATGGTTTGTAAAATTAGAACTCACATCAGTTTCTCAGGAGCTGTGAGCTAATGTACATCCATATGTCTACTGGGTTTGATAGCTCTTCTGCAAGCTGCAGAGAAAATTGTAGTGCATGGAGACTCTTCCTGTTTCTCTGCACTCTTTGTCTTCTAGAGAGAAATTGGAAACCTTCCACTGCATTGCTTCTGAAGGTATCTGTGCTCACTGCTTAAGGGTTCATATCAGAGTAGAAGCAGAATTAACATTCAGTAGTGATTGACTATTTATGAGTCTGTCCAGTGTATTCCTTTGATACCTAAATACTACCCTATCTCACAGGAGAGTATGAAGAAAAGATCCATGTAGAATAATTCATCTTGAACTGAGAGTCTCATTTTTGGGATGATAAGGCAAAGTAATTCTCCTTTTACTGTAATATATCTGAAATTGATTTTATATCTAATATTAACAAAGACACTGAAAAAACATTGGAATTGGAAGATAAATAGACTTTTGTTCATAGTCCATAAAATTTTTGTTGAAAGGTGATGAAATAAGGAAAATGCTGAGTGGGAAAAAAGTTCTTAAAAGAAGAAATAATAGCTGAACTACACAACATAAGCATATATATTTTATGTTATGATGTAGGTTCTCAAAGCATTTCCTTGATCCAATCATATATTTTCTCCAAATCTCTAAATCTTTATATCTTGCAGACTCAAAGAAGCCCACTGGACTCTTAATTTGATCCAATCTTTGGATATAAAGTATTAGCCAAAGCTTGCTTCAGAGTAATGAGGAAAGTCCAGAGATAAACAAATGATTTTAGATCATCTGCTCATTTTCCATTAACTGATTCTGACCTTCCTTTAATCAAATTTCTTAATCTGAGATTTCTGTCACACTCTGGGACTCTTGGTGAAAACTTAGTGTGAACTGAGTATCATTCATAAATTTTATGTTTTTCCAAAGAATGTTAAGTTGATTTTCAGGTAGGCACATGTCTTTTGTATAGGTCATCATTAGCCCCTTTTGTGGCAAAAGTTTGAGATGTACACGTTAAATTTTGCATATATTAATGAGTTCCAAACTACAGCGGATCCTCAAGTTTCAACTAGCCTGACAGGAACAACTTGAGTTACGGCCAAAATTTTAGTTTCAAATTACAAACAAAGTCTTGAGTTATGACCAAGATCCCTGCTACTTGTGCTTCCAGATGTTTTTAAATACAGATTTAACCCTCAAAGAGTTCTGGAAGGAACATTACAACATCCTTACTCATGTGGGGTTAATTGAGAAATCCTGGCCAATGCCTCTCTAAAGATGCTGAGATCTGCCTGTATACAGGAAACAAACTTTGATGGCTGTGTAGACAAGCCCTAGCTTTCCATTGACCAATCTGAGCTACAATCACCCCTCAAGAAAATTAAGTCTGTAAGTCAAGGGTCTACTACTTTTTTTTAAATGTAATACTCACAATGATCTGCCATTTTTCACTTCTATTTCCTTTTTGTATCTTCAGCATAATAGAGAAGAAAGAGCATGAGGAAGGATAATCAAAGCAGTGTGTCTGAATTCGTCCTCTTGGGGCTCCCTATCAGGAAGGAGGAGCAAGTCGTGTACTATGCACTGTTGCTGATCCTGTACCTGAGCACAGTGCTGGGGAACCTGCTCATCATCCTGCTCATCAGGCTGGACTCCCGCCTCCACACCCCCATGTACTTCTTCCTCAGCCACTTGGCTCTCAATGACATCTCTTTCTCATCAGTCACAGCTCCAAAGATGCTCATGAATATGCTGACTCATAGTCAATCCATCTCTTATGCTGGGTGCATTTCACAGGAATTCTTTTTCTTATTATTTGGTGGTGGTGAGAGCCTCCTTCTCACTTCAATGGCCTATGACAGGTATGTGGCCATCTGTCATCCCCTTCACTACAACATCATCATGAGTCAGAACCTCTGTTTTCTGCTAATAATTGTGTCCTGGGTCTTGTCCTCTGCCAGTGCTCTTGTGCACACTCTCCTCCTAGCCCAACTCTCTTTCTATGGAGACAACACTCTCCGCCACTTCTACTGTGAACTTGCTGCCTTACTAAAACTGTCTAGTTCAGACACCACCATCAATGACCTGGTTATTCTCATTGTAGGATCAATGGTTATGACTCTACCTTTCATGTGCATTCTGGTGTCTTATGGCCACATTGGGGCCACCATCCTGAGAGCTCCCTCCATTAAGGGAATCTGCAAAGCTTTGTCCACATGTGGTTCTCATCTCTCTGTAGTTACTCTCTACTATGGAGCAATTATTGGTCTTTATTTTTTTCCATCATCCAATAACACCAATGACAAGGATGTCATTGTGGCTGCTGTGTACACTCTTGTCACACCCATGCTGAATCCCTTTATCTACAGTCTGAGGAATCAGGATATGAAAAGTGCTCTGGGAAATCTGCTTAGTAGAGGAAAATTTTCAGTGTGATGGTCATTGTATTTCCTATTATCTGGCTATGAGATCTTCCCAATGTCAAGGATATATACTCTCTTATCTGAAATGTTTCTGAATGAATATTGATGAGGTTCTCTTTTTCCATCTATGTTTCATATTAGATGTAGTTTTTCTATTTGTCCTGTTGATTATCAGAGTCTTGGGAAAGGTTTTGACAAACATATTTTTCCTGTATTTCTCCTTTTCATGTGTTATTTTTCTGTTACAAAGATTGTAATTTTTACATAGTCATAGCTTTTAGTGATTTTTAATTGACTAATGTACAGAATTTTTTAACAAAGCTGCTTTTCATTGCTGAACATGACAAAAGTTTTCTGCTGTTTGTGATTTTACCTCTGTGTTTTATTTTACAGTGTATTTATAATTTGAATTTGTTAGTTTCTTTAACAAGATATGCAGTTTTACTTTTGTTTGTATTTTTTTCTACTTTTTTGAGACAGGGTCTCTCTTTGTAGTGCAGGTCAGTTTTGAACTCCTGGCATGCCTCCTGCCCCAGTCTCCTAATTGCTGGGATTACAGGTGTGTGCCATTATGCCAAGATAGTTTTGTAGTTTCTTATATATTCATGTTAAATCACAAGTAAAATTTCTAGATATTCACATGTACCATGTGATCTTTTGAAACATTTATACATTGTGTAATGTCAAATGAGGGAATCATATTTATGTTCTCAAATGTTTATCATTTATTTTGGCCAAATATCCAAAAGCTTTTATTTTCACTTTTTGTAGTATATAATATGTTATTAGCCCTACTCAGCCTACTGTACAAAAGAACATTAGATCTTATTTCTCCTATTTAACTATTTACCAGTTGACCAACTGTTTCCCAATTTTCCTTCCTCTCATTTCTCCTCAACTGTTTGTATTTTCTTAATCATTGTCCTATTTTATTTTTAATTTTACCCTTAGAGTGATGGAAATTAGGCACATAACTATTTTTTTCTCAAAGAGAGTAGGTCTTTTACAAATTGAGCTTAGAAGGCTTTCTCTAAAAGGTCAGGACAATGGTCCAGATAGTACAGATACATATCCTAAGTGATGAACAGAAACTTTATTGGTCCTTGAAACATCAGCTAGGTGGGAGGCATACAAATGGTAGAGCTGTCACGAATTTTCATGTAGTAATATGGTCAGTGAGTGGTTCCTTCTGATGAGGGGATTCAGCCTCTCTAGATGTGGGCTAACAAAAGGCCAGGCAGGATGTCAGAATCTAGGCCACAGAACTAATTTAATAGGACTTCAGTGCAGTTTCATCTAAGTACACAATATATGACTGTAAAATGAAGAAATGTACTTGCCAGCCTACCTACCTAAATGCAGTGTCCTATGTTTCCTTGTGAAATGGCAAAATTTCTTCTTTAGTCCTTAGGAAATTGCCTCTACTTAAAGCAAAGCTTCTTTAACTACATTGTTATATGGTGATTACAGTGACAGATATTTCTGTACTATTTCCCTTATGTCTAGTGTTTGTTATGAACGTGTAAATCCTAGTTTAAGAATTCAGTATTGAGCATGTGCCACTAAGATGGTAATATGTAGTGATAGAGGCCTCTCTAAGCTACTTTGCTTTGGAAGTGCCGTCTGGCCAGACTAAGGTCTGTTTTACTTTCCAACTTGTCCGGTGTGTTCCTTCCTGGGTGTTCTTCACTGCAGTCAGCTCCTCAGAGCATTTGGTAAGGTCCTCGGTCTTACATTTTGGAGGCCCCAGTGAGATCCCCGGGCAGGAACTCCGGTTCAGCCGAGACTCTGTGGCAGGATCCAGCAGGAGGCTCTCAGGCGCAGATCTCAGAAAACCTCCGGAGGTAAATTTTTGGCTGGTTGCAACCCTTTGTTAAGTCAGGAGTGAGGTGGCTGATGGGCCGGTAAGCCTCCCCTGACCCCAAGGTTCCTGACGAGGAACAAGGGAAGATTTAGTTTCATTTCTGTTGTGGCACCTGTTCATCTTGTCATTCATACGTTAGTGTCCTGTCCATTGTGTGTTTAATTTTGTATTTCTTTCCAAGCCATCAGGGCAGAGATGGGAGGATCCTGCTCCAAGAATACCTCATTGGATTGTTTTCTCACTAACTTTACATTGGCTTTTTCCCCTGAACAGTAGGACGAATATGGGGTTAAATTCTCTCGTGGAAAACTTCGTTCCCTATGTCAATTGGAATGGCCAGCTTTCAGAGTTGGATGGCCAGCTGAGGGCTCTTTTGACCCAAGCCTCTGTCAGGCTGTATGGAAAAAGGTCACCGGTCACCCTAGTCATCCTGATCAGTTCCCATATATAAATATTTGGGTCCAGGCTTATGAAGAGCCTCCAGCTTGGCTGCAGTGCTGTTCCCTGAGGACAGTCACTCGCATTCTCATTATGGCACCAAGGGGACCCCAAGAGGTCAAAACTCGGGCTCCCAAGCTGGTGCTCTCACAAGATCCTGATACCTTAGATCCCTTTATAAGACCTCCACCCTATGTGGAGCCTTCCTCCTCCTCTGATAAAGCCGGCCCCAGATCTCGAAACCCTTTCTACCCTCCTCTTCCTGAAGAGGAAAAATCTCCAGATTCTGTAACCTCCCCCTCCCACACACAAACAGGGGCCACTTATGGTCTCAATGGAGCTCCCACTGAAGGGGCTGGTTTGGTACCTCTTTTACCTCTTCGGGAAATAGAGCAGGGTCATTATGTCTATATCCCTTTTTCCACCAGTGACTTGTACAATTGGAAACATCAAAATCCCCATTTTTCAGAAAAGCCCCAGGCTTTGATCTCCCTCCTAGAATCTGTTTTTCATACCCATGACCCTACCTGGGATGATTGTCAACAACTCCT